CGACGAAAGAGGGGGAGGCCTTCAACGAGATGGATTGACATGGTGGCTGCGATGATGGGCTCAAGTATAGCAGGGATTGTGGGGCTGGCGTGGGATCGGTCAGTGTTTTGTTCTGCTGTGCATGGGGTTGCTATGAGTCAGAAACGACTCGATGGCACTTAACAACAACAACAAAAAAAAACATCTTTCTGGTATTCTTTGCCTTGAGCCAGGATCCATCTGACAGCAGCTATGATATCCCTTGTTCCACACCCTCTTCTGAATCCAGCTTGCAACTCTGGAAGTTCTGTCAATATATTGCTGCAACCATTTTTGAATTATCTTCAGTAAGATCTTACTTGTGTGTGATATTAATGATATCTGATAATTTCCACATCTGTGGGATCACCTTTCTTTGAAATGGATACAAGTTTGGATCTCTTCTAGTCAATTGGCCAGGTAGCTGTTTTCCAAATCTCTTGGCATAACTGAGTGAGTGCCTCCAGTGGGGCATCTGTTTGTTGAAACATCTCAATGAGTATTCCATCAATTCTTGGAGCCTTGTTCTTCAACAATTCCTTCAGTGCAGCTTCAACTTCTTCCTTCAGTACCATTGGTTCTTGATCATATGGCACCTCCTGAAATGGATGAAGATCTACTAGTTCTTTTTGATACAGTGACACTGTGTATTCCTTCCATCTTCTTTTGATGTTTCGTGCATCATTCAATATTTTGCCCATAGAATCTTTCAATATTGCAACTTGAGGCTTAAATTTTTTCCTCAGTTTTTTTCAGCTGGAGAAATTCTGAGCATGTTCTTCCCTTTTGGTTTTCTAACTCCAAGTCTTTTGCACACTTCATTATAGGAATTGACTGTCTGCTTGACCTGCTCTTTGAAATCTTTGATTCAGATATTTTATCTTGTCATTTCTTCCATTTTCTTTAGCTACTCTCCTCTCAAGGGCATGTTTCAGAGTCTCTTCTGACATCCATTTTAGTCTTTTCTCGTCTTTTTAGTGACCTCTTGCTTTCTTCATGGATGATGTTCTTGATGTCATCCCACAGTTCTTCTGGTTTTCAGTCATTGATGTTCAATGCATCAAATCTGTTCTTTAGATGGTCTCCAAATTCAGGAAGGATATATTCAAGATCATATTTTGGCTCTTGTGGACTTGTTTTAACTGTCTTTAACTTCAAGTTGAATTTGCATATAAGCAGTTGATGGT